TTCTCCCATTCACTTGTTTCCCTTTAATAATCTGAGATTAATACATATTATGCCTGCAGCAGCATTATTATGGAAATCATTAACTGAATTCATGCAGATGGTTAAGCACACTGAAAAGAAAGATGAGGCTGTTGGGCACCTTAGTGACAATGAGATGGCAGTAACTTTGTAAAAACCCAGAGGCAGGTTTAGGCAGAGAGAGTGTTAAGAAACTGCCTGTTTTGGTGATGAAATTTATCTTCTGTACACTGAATTTTAAAGACCTGTGGAGGTGCTAGAGGTCTTGTGATGTCTCTGACATCTGAGGTTGCTTGGGCATGCAACCTTTGGACTGACTCTGCTTTATTCAGCCTATGCTTCTTCCTGTCTCCTCAGTGATGCTGGCTCAAACATTTCTTCCAGCCTTTCTTTTTCTAGTTTTTCCTGTTCCTCATGTTCCCTTCCTGTTTCCCTCGGGTTCCATCTTGCCTCTGTTTTTCTCAAATGCTGAAGTTTTCAAATATCCTGCCATTAAGATGACCATGTCCTCAGTTGCATGCTTCCTCTTGGAGGGTCACTGCCTGCCTCACTGCACGGGATCAATGTCATCACTTAATGACTAGAAATTCAATACTTTGTTTTATGTGGCTTGCTCAGTATATGATCTGTTTCTCACCTTCTTGTCCACTCTTAGATTTTTCTTTCACTGTGGGCTTGCATCTACTTGTGTTTAGCGCTCTTCAGCATGATGTCTGACTGCTTCCTAAATTATTTCTTTTTTGGACATGGCTGTAAGGCCTTATTCTTGTCATGCATATACTGGTGAGGATCAACTTCCTCCAGTAGGTTAGTTGCCACTTTCAGATGTTTATTTTTTCCTTTCTCCAGCACTGCCCTTTGGCTTGCAGGAAACCCCTGCTCGTCTGTTGTATGCGCTTCAACTTTTGTAATAGGTTGGGCCATAGGGTGTGGACCTGCTAAGCAAACACTGTTGGCAAAAATGGTCACTGCCAAAATCAGCCAATAATCCAGCATCAGGACTGGTAATAAGGCTGTGCAGCAGCTTTAGCTTTCATGTTTCCTGTCTTTCTTTTGCAGTCCTATTAGGAGAGGAGTGGAATAAATGGGTTTTCTGTAGTCTTCAGAAAGCAGAACTGGGTGAAGAAAAAAAGTGCAGTTGCGTATGTGTGTTTCCCTCTGAACGTTGGGGCAAGAGTGGAAGTGGTAGATTCTCATCACTGACATCTGTCAGCATGGTTGTTGGCAGCTGTGTTGCCACAAATGGCAGGAGTAGCCCTCTGGGAGCCATCAGTGCGGGAAGATGCCAGTAGTTTCCCAACTACTTCTAGAAGCAGAGAGATGCTGAGTTGGGAATAATGGGCCTAATTCACAGAGGTGTGGTGGACATCTTTCTACTCCCTTTTCTCTGCAGAATGTTTCCTGTTATTCAGGGTCTTTCCATCTATTCCTTGCATGTGATGCAATGATGACTACAAAAAATCCTCCACCTTTCCCCATCTAATGAAATATTCTTTCCCTTTGACTAGAGAGAGAGATATGAGATATTCTTTCCTTTTGACGTCCTTTCCCTTTTCCCTTTGACCAAAGGCTAGCTTGGGAGATCTCCCAGTCTCTGTTCCAAGATCAGACACCATACAGCTTTTTTTGCAGAAGTAGCAGGGATATGTCTTCTCAGACACATAGCTTGTAGGAAAGAGCAGATTCCCCTCAGGTGATGCATGGTATCTGGTTTACCAAGGGAGAAAGAAGGGGAAAGTATGTTCCTTGAATACAAGAAGTCCAGAGAACTTTGTTGCTAAGCTCTGAATCTCTATTAAACCTTTTTGGGCAGGAATTTTCAAGTACTTACTGCTTGGCCAAATTTGAGGTGACTTTCTTAAAGGGGGAGGGACGTACAAGATTTCTATTCTGGAAAAAATAAAGGAAGTGCTTAGAGGCTCTCAGTTAAATAGTTGGAATTCTTTCTTATGTGAGTAAATTCTTTCTTTCCTCCCTAATTTTGTCTTTGGAAATAGATGGCTGAATATTCTTTTAAAACCTTCATGCCAAAATAAAAACTCGTAAGAAACTATATGCAATTCTGTGCAGCGTGGTGAGGTTTGGGTGACAAATATTAATTAAAAACAGGCTTAAACAGAAAGTATTCAGATGTGTTACCTATACATCTACTATGACCTAAAGTACTTGTGGGGTGAACCTTCAGCATTGGCTTCATCCAGTCAAATAATGCAAAAATCAGTTGAAATTTTTTACAGAGAGATTAATCAGACGTTGGAATGGGCTGCCCAGGGAGGTGGTGGATTCACTGTCCGTGGAGATTTATAAGATGAGACTGGATGTGGCACTTAGTGCCATGGTCTAGTAACCACGGTGGTAGTGGATCAAGGATTGAACTTGATGATCTTGGAGGTCTTTTCCAACTTGATTGATTCTATGATTCTATGAATAGCAGAGCTGATTGAAAATCAGTCCTGTATGAGACTTTTTGCAAAGAGTTAACTGGACTGGAAAACCCAGTTGTCCATTTTATTTCATGCTGCGAAGGAATTGAAATCTCTCCAAAGTGAATGTGAAAGACTGGGATAAAGTGGATCATTCTTGTTTGGTACGATTGTACTTTGGTTGGACAGTTTGCTTATTATATTTGTGGAGGACACTAAAATGGGGGACACCGATAGAAAGGCAAGTCTGTGTTTTAAGTGATCTAATAATGGTGGAGGTTCAGTCTGGGGCAGGGGAGGGGGGGGTGGGAAGGGAATGTGATTTGGGAGAAAGGACAATTTCATTGGGACATGAAAAATCGGTAATGTAAATACACCCTAGGAAGTGACTGGGTCCTTTGTGGTTCAGCAGCATGAATCTAAGGATTATAGTAGATCACAAGGTGAACGTGAGTTAACAGTGTGAGTATTGTGAAGAAGCCAAAATCATATCCTGAGATGTATGAGTAGAGGCACAGTCTGTGAGACACATCAAGATTATCCTTTCACTGTACTCAGCATCAGTGAGATCTTGATCTGAGCTGGGTCGATAAAGAGCAATGAGAATAGTCAAAGTCTGTAAAACATGGCTTGTAAGGAGAGACTGAAGATATTGTTTTAATAAGAAGGGGATATTGTTGTGACATTTAAGTTAGATAATAGAGGGAGAGGAAAAAAAAAAAAGAAAAAAATTAAAAAAAGAACATGAAATGTTTCAAGTGAAACCCATTCAATTTCCTGGGAAAATGATGGAGCCCTGGAGGCTGGCAACCTGTAAGATCAGGTGAGGCAAATGCCTTTTGGGAATGATAGGGATGCAGCTGACCCTGCCTGGAGTTCAGGGGAATGGGCTACGTGATGCCATGTGGCCCATTTTGGTTTTACAGCTCCCCCCTGTCCAAGTGCCTTTCCAAAGGGCAAGGCAATGGGAATATAAGCTCCCAGCCTCTTCTTCATGTTTTTGTAGACCTGACTACTCCCATGTGTTTGAGTGTTCAGGAGCATTTACTCTTACAGAGCTCCCTGTAGAGAGCAGTTAGAGTAGCTCTGTCACAGAGTTACCCTGTTACAGAGATCAGAAAGCAATTGGTGTGAGGGGGAAGGTCAGAACAGGTGCTAGGAAAACCCCTTTTCAGATATTGTCCATTGGAGAGGCCTGAAGTGTAAGTCATGTTCAGAGGTGGGAATGATCTAGCAGTTCATTCCTCTCATCAAACTGGAGAGGGAACGAGTGGTTGCAGCTGCTGCTTGCAGTTGTCTTTAAGCAACACTTCAGTTTATATACTCTGCCTGGGAAAGCCCAAATCTCTCAACCTTAAGGTTTCCAAAACATGTAGCAGCTGGCCAGCCTTAGCTGCTTGCTGCTGCTGGAGGTGAAGGTCAGAGTTGAGCTTGAACCCTTGTTCCATTGGAGGAGTGGTGGCAAAGACTCCTGTGGGAAAGGCTGTTGAGTCAACCACAGAGTGTGCAGCTACCAGTGAGGTGGAGGAAAGCCTCCATGCTGTAAAAATAGCTACACTAGGAGCCCTAATATACTTAAGTGCTTATTTTTCCATGTGTGATCTCATGCAAGCCAAGCTGCTGGGCAGCATGACATAGCAATTGGCCAAAAATAAAATACAACTCAATCAAAATGATTTTTTTCTGAAGTTAACCTTTGATGGGTAGGAGGGACAGGTACTCTGTTTTCTCATTTCCATTGTTCCTGTTAGAAAAAAAGGTGCAGGAGGGAAAGACAGATGAAGATGGGATTGACACCTGGTATCTGTTTTGTGATGATAGCCACAGGTTAAGGATAGGAATTGCAGCTTTCTTGACAGGAAACTTATGCCTGTAATACAGCAAGAACATGTACATGGGATTTCTCTGTGTGCTTCTGCAGCTGACTTCACTGACCTGAGTTTGGGTGAGTATTTGATGCTGCAAAAATGGTATAGACCTAAAAGCATTTGAAGCTGAAGGAAGTGCAGCACCAGCAACCTTTGAACAAGGCACTCTAATCCTGGTTGATAAGCCTTAAAACAATGTCTTTAGAGCCCTTTAGAGGTTCATTTTCTTTCATTGTTTGATGCTTGGCTGTTAGTTGATTTTTAGGGGGTTTTTTGTCAGTTTTGGTAGGCCTGCATGTGGCAGGCTGATACCATGAAACCCCTATGACAAAAGCCATCGAATGCCTGGACATGCTGGTAGTTTGACCACTGTCTTGCCAGGGTTAGCATTACACTCTTCAAGAAGAAGAGAGCCTTACTAATCCCTTGCTGGTGGAGAAGTGGACAGACCTGAGGAGTAGGGTGGCTTTCCTCTTAGAAAATGTAATCCTGAATTTCATATGTGAAAGCATGTGCATCTCATGGCAAAACTCTGGATACACACTAGCAGACTTGGGGCATTGTGTTTTTCTTTTTTCTCCTAGCTATTAACATAACTTATAACTACTTCAGGTTTTGTTTCTGTAACAGCAAAAGCCAGGGTAGAAGATCGCTGACACCACAGTCTTCTCATTACGCTTCTCCTCTGCAGGGCCTCTGACCTGTTTCTGCTGGACACGCGGGCAGTGTGGGCATCAGAGGAGGGCTGGCTGGAGTTTGATGTCACTGCAACCAGTAACATGTGGGTGATGAACCCTCAGCACAACATGGGACTGCAGCTGAGCGTGGTGACCCGGGACGGTAGGTTACGGGCCAGGTAACACTAGTCACCTCTTGAGTCCCTTGGATGTTGTCTAGAAGTGGTGCTAACAGAACCCAGTTGGGATGTGGGGGTTGGGCACCCTAAGCAGCTCTAGCCAACACCACGAGCAGGGCGTCTGAGGGCATAAGTGGTGGGCTGTCAGTTATTGGCTGTCCCACGATGGTCATGTCTTTCCACATAAGTGAGGTCAGGTATCTCTAGACAGTACCAGGATGAGCTGGTGGAGGTGGGTTGGGGTAGTCTCCAACTTTGTTTTCTTTCTGTCACTTCATGCTGGAGTTTGGTACACCTGTGATGTGAAGTAAGAGTAGAGGGGCTGTCCCCTGTTTTCCCTGAGGAAATGTTAGTACCAGCCTCTACCTCCCCAGTTGGGCTGAGAGCCCATTCCTCTGCTCCTGACAAAAGCACACCATCCCTTTGCCGTCTGCTTTCCCTAGAGGTCTCCTAATCTCACGTCTGCTTCTTGTGTTTCACAGGCAGCAGAACTAATTTCGTGACACATCTGGGCATTGTGTTGTATATATCTATGTATATAACTCTTTATAACAGAGTAGAGAAAATAGAGAGTTTATTTTTTTAACTTTATAGTTATACAGAGTACAAAAATCCTAAACTGGAATAGAGATGCCAAAGGGATACCAAAGAGCCAGATGCTGCAATGAAGTCTCTTGTCCAGGATGGAGTGCTGTCGTAACAATGCCCATAGGCCGTGGTGGCAGGAAAGGAATGTTTAGTGTTTAAAGAAGAGTATGAGCAAGAAGAAAAGAGACACTGCTTATGGGGATGTTGTGATGCTGAAAGGAGCAATCCACCTGCACTCTTTTTTCTAACATTCACTTTACTGTTTGGTTTGAAGGTTTCAGTGTAAATCCTAGAGAAGCAGGCCTTGTAGGGCGAGATGGCCCTTATGACAAACAGCCTTTCATGGTGGCCTTCTTCAAAGTGAGCGAAGTTCACCTACGGACCACTAGGTCAGCGACAAGCAGGCGCAGGCAGCAGAGTCGGAACCGCTCCACCCAGACTCAAGACGTTTCCAGGGTGTCAAGTGTCACAGGTAATCATGTAACACAGGTAATCATGCAGCACAAGCTGGGGTGACTTGTAAGGTTTTCATTTGCTTTGGAGTTGAAAGAAGCAAGAAGAGGGTTGTAAGGTGGGATGCTCTTCCCTGGGGTAATAGGTTACATCTGCAAGGGGTTGGAAGAGGAGATCTCACGTAATAGACTTACAGGAGTCCTCTTGAATCCAGGGTGGAGTCCAGACCCCCATGTGAAGTTGCGCCCATTTATTTCAAGGGGATGAGATATTTTAGCCACAACTCTTGTGCTTGTAGGTTGTTTGCTATGCAGTATTTGTCTAGGATTATGCCCTAGAAGTGAAGTGCAATATTTGAAAGACTCAATCTCTGTGTACACTGAGATTTATGGTATTGCACATATGCATTCCCAGCAGAGTCCTCTTTCAGATTTCTTTGGAAAAAAGGTGGTAGAACAGCTCGAGATTTTTTTTTTAACCTTGTGAGAGCATCAGTGTATATGTGGTGAAGCATATTTCCAGACAGGCAAAGAAGTTTTCCTGTTTACTGTGGAAAGGTTGCATGTTGCAGGTGTTTTACAGCAGCCTTATGAGTGCTGTTGTGGGCTGGTGGGGCAATACAATAACTCTGAAATTTTTATGCAAATTGAGAGAGTCTTCTGTCTTCTAAGTCTTACCTGTTTTCCAGCCACTCTGCCCTCCATCACAGTGCTACAAGTCCTTCTTCATTTAGTACCTTCTTTCCTTTGAAACATTTTAGCTTACTCCAATTTACTTGATTAATTTGCTTATGCTGCCCCCTTCATTTCCAATAGGATCCCTTCCCTTCCCGTCTCTAGAAATGTCTATACCCCAAGGAAGAGAGGCAGTTGTATTTTTTAGTCTATATCCAGACGCAGCACAGGGAGATGAGCCAGCACTGCCAAAACGTAGCTGGTGTGAATCTGTAGGCTTTCACTTGCTCCTGAATGCTTGGGTTGTGGGTGAGCCATGCTGCACCTGAGGTTGCTCCATGTTGGCCATGGTACTGGGAGCCTGCAGGGGACAGAGCCAGGATGGGAGCCCTTCCAGGGCTGGTGGCCAGGGTCTGTGCATGGCCATGTGTTGACTCAGCCAAATTGCTACAGCCCATCATGGTGAGGGACTATGGGCTCCCATGCCATGCTGTGCAAGGGCCAGTGTGAGTGTGAAATAAGGCTTCATGGATTTTAAGGGCAGGAGAAAAGACTCAGTCCTGCAGCCTGGCCTCCCCAGGGGAGGCTGGCCACTGCCAGCATGGCATTGCTGGAGGAGTTACCATCTAATCTGGCATGAGAGCCCTCTGCCAGCACCTTCTGTGGGGCCAAATTTCTGAGACCTGCTTTGGTCCTGATTTCCTTCAGGTCTCCAAACTGCAGATTTAAAGCTGGGCATCATGGCTTCTTACTGAGTTACTTTCCTGAGTGATGAGTTTGCTAAAACAAAATTTTCATATTTTTAAATCAGGCAAAGTGACTTAAAGCTCCAGAGGGAGCAGATACATTGGGCAAAAAGGGACATTTTTACATTGCTGCTTTCTTGACTACACCACACATCAGGTCATAAAATTCTAAAATGACAAAAAAGGGAAAAAATAGCTGGCATTCTTTGATCTCAAGGGTTTTTTTGGGCTCTTCTAGCTCAAAGCCAGCTTTAATTTAAAACCTGGAATTTGGCATTTCAGTAGACAATAAGGTATAGTTGAGACTGTTAAGCGCAGGGGAAGGGAGAGGAGTTTAAAATTAAGATGTATATTTGGTTGGTTTCTGTGTTTAGAAAAGAGAGACTACATCAGCTTGTTTTCCTTTGTAAGTGTATGACTCTCAGACTCTGTTCTCCTTAAGAAGTGGTTGATTTAACAGCCCAAGAGGCACCAATGACCAATAAAGGTTTTTAGCATTAAAGAGATCACAGGATTTTTTAATAATTCTTTTTTAAATGTGAGGATGTCTACATCTACGGCCCTGGGATTACCCTGAAGGCTGCCTAGTTCTTCTGAGGGTGCCCTGATGCATCTGGACCCAAAGTGGGTGCAGAACTGGGTTGCATCTCCCCATGTGTGCATCTTCCTCTCTTGCTGTATCTTACGTCTTGTCAAATTTTTGTTCTGTGCTCTTCCTCAAGCTAGAATTGCTGCTGCCTACCAGGGCTTGAGAGCAGTTTCTCTCCTTGAGAGCAAGGCAGTGGTTTGGTGTTGATGGGTTTTTTGGTAGATTAAAACTTCCTTTCTCTATGTTAGTGAATGCACAGGGATTTATTTTTTCAGTCCAAAAAGGAACCCCTTTTCCTAAAGATCCTGTGAGTTGTTTTGGGGCAGTATGTTTTAAAAAGCCCCATTTGCTGTCTAAATATGGCAAGAATTTCAAGTTCTGCAGTTTTGAGTGCCTGAAGTGTGCTGCTGGGCTGGTACCAGATCTGGTGAACCGGGGGTTAGGTGAAAGCGTGCTGCTGTGTGTGGGGAAAGGGACTCCACTATGCTCCCTTTGACATGCAGTTGTTGTCCTGCAGTCAGTACCAAGAGCTCAGATACTAAGGCTATGGCCGTAGCATAAGATTCTCAATGATCTGTATTTTTTTGCCAAGAATAATTATTTCCCTGTATTACAAACACGTAATTATGATTGGCTTGTATAAAGCAGAACTGAATAACCCCCACGGTTATAAACTGCTTTGACATAGAGTTCCTGGAGCTAAGCTCAATTCTTCTGTAGAAGGAGGACAAGCAGGAAGAAAAGGAAGTATTTTCACCTGCTGAGGCAGAAGATCACATGCCAACTCTGGCCCAGGACGTGGAGGAACGAGGTGGGTGGGAGGAGTGAGCAGGTGTTTCTCTGCTGTTGTCTGCAAGATCTGGAGGCCCTCACTCAGCTGAATCTTGCAGTGGATTGAGCTTGTGCTCTCAGACTCCACACTGACCCTCTGGTTAACTGAAGAGATGGGGACTGTCTTCAGCATAACAGATGGTGACCCTCTGCCATACAGCCACCTCCATGATTTACAGTTTCTGCACAGGCCTATCTCTTTGTCTGATGGCGATAATCCTTCTCTTCTGCAAGTCAGCCTTCAGGCATATCTCTTCCCATCAGCGCTTCCTGATGGAGAGCATTGAAACGCCTGACTTTGGGCTGTGCTTGCTGCTCTGAGTGAAACTCAAGCAAAACTCTTTTTCAGGTCCTTCTCTTTAGCCATCCTAGGGCCCTTGCGACTGGTGGGAGGTGCTCCATGAAAAATGAAGAGGCCCTCCAAGTGGCCTTTCCTTCCAGCAGACATGCATAGCACCAGACAGATTTCCCCACGTGTACGGGAACCAAATATCACAAAGGGCAGTATGCACAAACACTGTAGGCAAATAAAGCTAAATGCTTTTGTGATGGCAAGGATCTTGTTAACAAACTTCATTATCTGGCAGCCAATCTTCCCTTCAGCATAGTGCTTGGATGCAGACTGGAGCAGTGTGGCCAGCATTTCTGTTTGTGCCTTCACATGGGGGTTCACGTCAGCCCAACATCTCCCCTTCTTCCCACCCAAGCAGATCACTTTCATGTGAAGTGGGCTGTTATTAAGTGTGTGATCAGTTTACACCAGCTTTATCCGGGAAAATCACCAAAGTCAAACACCAAGAAGAAGGGGCTGGCCTTAGAGACCTCTGTCAAAGCTATTTTGAATCACGAAGCAATTAATTACTGGGTGGAATTTGGTAAACCGGCACCTGGGGAGCAGCAAGTGTTCTCATTCGGATCGACCTCAGTAAATATTTATATGTTCTTTGCCAGCACTTAACGTGGGAGAGGTTATAGGAAATCTAGGGTTAGTGCATGAGTATCTGTAGGAGGAAGACTATTAGGGTCAGGCTATTCTCTTGCCCTTTTCAGCAACACACATGCCAGTGTCCAGCCTTAAGAGAAACATCTGTGCTCGCAGAAAGTCAGACTTGGGGCCTGGTGAAAGCAGACAACATTCAGTGCAAACAAGCTGCAGGGACAAGCCATCTTAACTGTGCTGTTTTAACTGTGCTGGGAGTTATTTTTAAGTGCAGAACTAGGGGTTTGAGTTTTTTTAAATCTCTGTTTTGGACAAAATAGTTTGCAGTATGATTAAATGCAGTGCCTTGTAAATGCCAAGCTAGTATTTCTGAATTGGTATGTTCAGAGGAAAAAATAGAGATGATTTTGCTAAACCCACAATGAGCCTATAGGAACTCCCAAAGCAGCTCTCTAAACTCTGAGAGATTTTAAGGGTTTCTGGCAAACAATCCTCACGAATTGTGCTGTGGCAGTGTAAACTGGCCCCATGGAAGTTGTTTGCAGCATCCCCCCTGCTGCAAGCTGCCTGCTCTTGGCCCTCCTGGCTCCTTGCTGCAGGGCTGGTAGGAAGAGACATGAACCCTGTTGCCTCTTGCCAGTTGGATCTTGCACTGCTGAACCACCTCAAATGGCAATTTGGGCTAAAACAGCTGAGCATGCTGGCCTGGGGTAGCTGATGCTGCTTTCCAGGCTTTGGAGAAATTGTGTCGTGGAAGCCAACTTCAGTAGCTCAGTGAGCTTTAGCTCACTGCCAAAACCCCTTGACTGTGTGTATTCTTCTTTTTCCAGGCCCATAACTGGATGCACATTCAATGTACGTGGCTCTAGGGCATATGCTGAGCCCCTAACTGTAGGGAGTGGGTCATGACTATGTGCATCTGTTTTGCTGCATTTTTTTCTCCAGTTCAGAAAGCCACTGCTAAGGTTGCTTAAAGGTTTGTAAAACCCCTGAAGTTGGGCTAAAGTAGCTTCCATGAAGTAGACATAGTAGACAAACACATAACAAGAAAAGAGGGCAGGGGATCTTGGGGGTGAGGGAAGAGTGCAAATCCAGGGAGAGGGGATGTTTAATATACTGGCGTTTCAGAAAGCAAAGGCTCAGTCTGGACAAGTGAGAAGATAGAACTGTCTGCATCTGCCTTGGATGAAGAGCAGCCAGTGCTCCATGCAGAGTGTGAATCAGGTGACTCCAACCAGTGAGCAGAGGCAAATTTTTGGGGGCAGTGTGAGAGAGGACATGTTCATAACATGTTCTGCTTCATGTAGCTTGTTAAGCAGCTTTTTTTTCCCACCCCTGTGTTTTCTTAAACTTGTGATTGCTTGCAGCCTTCCTTCCTACTCCTGTTTTCCCTGCCTCCCTTGCCTTCTCCCCTTTCCTGTAGCAGATTTGGGTAAATTATAGCTGGATTTGGAATGTAGCATCATTCTGCCCACTCAGTTGTGAATAGATCAACTCCACTGTAACTCCCAAATACAGATGGTTTCCTCTAAGCAAACTACATATTTCCCATTGAAGAACAATGAAGTTGTGTTTTCAGGTACTTAAAGGAAAGCCTTTGATCACTAAAAGTATCTTCTGCTCATTTTTTCCCCCTCATTATGACCAGATCATTTCAAAACATCTCATGCTAGAAATTTGCTCCTGGGCTGAGCCAGGGACTGAAAAGCTTCATCTGAAAAAAACCCACCACACCCTGGTTTCTTCTGGGTATGTCTGGTTTGAAAGTGGAAAGCTCAAATAGAGAGACTCTCCTCCATCCTTGCTACCGCGTGCTCCTGAAAGAGTGAATGTTTATACTGCAGCAGGCTGTTAACCAGCTCTGCTCACCTGATTAAATCCGTGATTGAAGCAAAGCTATTGAAAGTCTGAAATGCAATCCTTAGAGTTTAAAACCCAAGCTGCTTCTAAAAACAACTCTCTAATCTTTGGTGGTTGGGAGGCTGGGTTTGAGGTGTAGGGTTTTTTTCAGCCCTCAGTGTTAACTGTACCCAGCTGTACTGCTGTGCTGCCCTTAATGTCAGTTGGATGTGCTTTTAGTATTATAGTTTTTCTTTTGAATAAATATTTGCATTTGTAGTTCCCAAACTTAGGGGGGGTGCTGGAGGGAAGCAAAAGAAAGGCTTATTCAGAGCCAAGGAAAAAGTCACTAAAAATATTTTTCTATCCCAGCTGCTGCATCTGGGGGAAGCTGCACTGGAAGGGTGACCTTTCAAGCCATGTTAGGGGCACCAGGGGGCTGGTAAGCCAAAAGGTCCAGGGCAATGGGAGGCAGGCACATCAGCCTGTGACATCTGCCTGCTGACAGAAGCGCCTTTAATTGCAAATGAGGTGTGTGAGAGAGGAGGAGGCCCCTGTGGAAAGGCATGGGAGAAAAACATGGACGGGGAAAACATGGGCTCCCACACTGCTCGGCTGAATTTGCTGCCATCTCTTCCTCTTGTGCTTCCCATCGAGTGCACAGTACGGGTTCAGCAGCTGTAGCTGGTGGCCAAGCTGCTCTGCTGCAAAGGTGGTTTCTGTGGCTGCTCTGCTGAGGTCCAGCAGCCACCTGAGGTGTGACAAAATCAGCAACCACCCGTCAGGGCTGGATTTGTGCAGCCACATGGAGGTGAAAGGCCCCTCTGTCACGGCTCAGCTCCTCTGTGGTTCCAGGTGTTCACATGTGGAGCCACCTCTCTTTCCAAATATAAATGGGAAATTCCACTCTCTGTCAAAAGCTGCACTTTGTGGGGTCATCAGGAGCAGCTCCTGCATGGTCGAAACATCCTCATACATTGCGTCATGGCAAGGGAGAAGGTCTCTGGTCAGGGCTTTGCACTCTGCCTTCCCACTCTGGTGAAGTACTGGCACTAAGGAGCAAGTGAATGGTGAGAGCATGTCAAGTTCTGTGTCATCTGCAGATAAGCAGCTTATGGAAAGGAGAAACAGGTTTTTCAGAGCATGGTTTGTAAAGGTCCAAGGGTGGAGGTGGTGGATGGGGTGATGTCTGGGGAAGGCTGGGGGTAAGACAGAGAGAGACGGGGACTTCCCTGCCTATGGGACACCTTAGCTGTTTAAGGACTCCTGCTAACTGTTACAGGGAAACAAGGTGACGATTAACCTTCCTGGGGCTGTAATTCTTTCAGTAAGTGTGTGCGGTTTGAGCTCACCACCTAGGGCGGCACACCTTGGAAACCGCAGCTGAGGAAGTGGGGTGAGTCTGAGCACCCAGTGGGGATGTCACCTGTGCCAGGCTGAAGGAGTAGATTTATTTTAAGAAGTCGTTTTACTGGAGGTGTTTTACAAGCACTTTGAAGGCAGCTGAAGTAATTATAACTGAGTCACTGTTACTTGGGTTCCTCCATTCCCAAAGGCATCTTAAAAGCTTCAGCCCTGCTTTGGATGTCCCTCAACACCCTTATCCTTTTGGCTGCTGAGGGAGCTCATCATTTCTTGCTGCTGAGCCCACAGCACGCACACATTTGGCCAGCTGTGCCCTCCAGCAATGCTCTGCCTGTTTTAGTTTCTAAATTCTTGTTTTTGTTCTTTTTCTTTTAACAGATTACAACAGCAGTGACTTAAAAACAGCGTGCAGAAAGCATGAGCTTTACGTTAGCTTCCAAGACTTGGGATGGCAGGTGTGTGATGTTTCTCCCTGGGTAAACTAGACATTTTGTTATGAAATGTTATCTAAACAGTGTCACGGTAATTCCACTTGAGTCTGCCATTGTGCTTTAAAATGTCCCTTGTGCCTCCTCACTAAAACCAGTGACAGGGCAAGGCAAATAAATATTGATAGTTGTGACATTTGATAAGATCCAGAGGAAGCTTGATACTTTATGAGATTCAAGTATACAGTCATTCTCTGTCACTCACAGGAATCACAGTACGGGCAAGGGTTTATATCTGTGAACCTCTAATGATAAGAAAAAAAATCTGATGATAAGCAGTGATTTTAATTAAATTTTTTTGTGTGTAGTGTTCAGCCACTGTTTGAAATTGGCCATTGTTTGAAATCCTCCATCCCTGCGCCACCATTAGCACTGCCTATGGTAGGTAGACTGAAGACTGGGTTTAGTTGCAACACCATGAGGCCAGAAAGTTGTTTAGAGTAAGTTATTTAGGACCAGGCCACTGTGTAATCAAACATCACATTTCAAAGAATGCCCTCACCTTTTCTTTTTTAAAATTTTTAAATTTTTCTTTCATTCTTTCATTCAACCCTTTTGTGAGGGGAGATCCCATTTCTGTCAGCTAATGTTTTTACCTGGTTATAATTCAGAATGCCAGGGCTGCCCCTGGTGCTGCCCCTGGACATGGAAGTCCTCTCAGCTAATGGGACAGTACTTTTTGTAACTTATGTCAACTCCAGCCCACTAGCTGCAACTGTGGGTGCCTGCTGACTCCGTTCTCCAGTACTTGGGAGTGGCATTTCTTTTCACTTGTGAACAGTTTTTCCACCTGTTCCTTAGCTTACTTGCCCTGCTTTCAGGCAGGAGGCAGATTCCAGTTGTGAAGTTCCTGATCTTGAAGGCACTGCTTTCATGTTTCTAGGTGTAGAAAGGTACAATGCTGCCAAAGGCAGGCCACAGACCAGCAGGGCTCATTGCAAGAGTTGGAATCCAGGTCCTACTTGTTGCAGGCAGATGATCAAGGCAGGGCAGCAGCCCCCTGCAGTTTTTTGGCACTGCCATCTCCTTCAGAACATCCATTAATTTTTTTTTAGCAGAGCACTTCCCTTATTCTTACAGCCCATTAAACCACAAATTAAATTACACAGTCTGTACTGGCATCTCTAGCAGAAGGGTGATTTTCTTATGAAAAGCAGGTTGGTTTACCAGGAGCAAATTATGGGTGAACTAGTACAGTAAAATGAAGGGGAGTTTTTGCGATGCCCAGGTATCCTCGTGGGAGCAAACCTGGCTAGCAAAGCTACAGCAACAGTGTCTGGCTGCTCAGACCTGCTGTAGCAAAATTCAAGCAAACACAGGTAATTGTTGTCAGGTAAAGGGGAAATTGTCTAAGAATTACATGCACGTGAAGTGTACCAGTATGTTCTTCTACAGGATAACCTGCAGAGCCTGACACCAAAGGAAGCAAAATATCTCCTGCTAATTATTGCTGCTTTTAGTTTTCCTTTGGCTCTTTTGTGTCAGCAGCAGAGAAGCTGTAATTTTTTTATGAGCCCTTTGGTGAAAAGTCACCTTCTTCCCTACCATCATGGGACTCAAGAGTGCCACTGGGGCCACCTGTTTGCACATGCAGCTCAGGCTGGCTGCCCTGCCCCTCCTTTAGGAGTCTGGCAGATGTGCTGAAGCTGTTACACAGCTAAGACTTCCCACAGTGGCCTTAGCAGGCTAGTGTCCCCGTATAAGGGTGTATAAGATAGAGTGTCTGTGAGACACCACACCAGTTTTTTATATTCCTGTTGTGGAGCTCCCTCAGGCTTGAATTGTGCCTGTGTGAATGCATGGATGTGATTTTTTCCATGAGGGGGCACCAGCTGTGGCTGTGACTCAACCTAGGAAAGGTAGTTCAGCCAGAGGGCCTAACCTGCAGGAAATGTTGGAACATAAAGGCTTCCAAACCACAATCCCCACAAGGCAACCCAGCAAGAGTTTTAGGGATAAAACTCTCTTAGTTCATGGCAATACATATATGTGCACTGTTCTTTGGACATTGAAATCAGTGTGTCCTTGTAAAAGTGATGGCTCAAGAAAAACCAAAAACCAAAACTCCAATCAAAAGCCTAACAGTTTCAGTGAAAACACATTTTCACCCTCAAGAAAAAAGTTAATGGAAAATTTTCAGCTGCTCTTAATTGCATGCAGTTGTCTGTTGAATCATGTTCTGTTTGTTTCCCTAAAAAGGACTGGATAATCGCTCCAAAGGGCTACGCAGCCAACTACTGTGATGGGGAGTGCTCATTCCCACTCAATGCCCATATGAACGCAACCAATCATGCCATTGTCCAAACTCTGGTAAGTCTCCAGCCAGCTCGATGCCAAAGCACCAGGTGAATTTGTAAACAGGATACCATTGTCTCAGTTGTGTTTTCTTTCTTGGCAACAGGTTCATCTTATGAATCCTGATTACGTTCCCAAACCATGCTGTGCACCTACCAAACTAAATGCCATATCTGTTCTTTACTTTGATGATAATTCTAATGTAATCTTGAAGAAATACAGGAATATGGTAGTAAGAGCTTGTGGATGTCACTGACAAACAGTCTTCACATGGACTCTGTGATGCTACCATGAACTTTGATACAACCTTCCCTGCTTTCAGGAGCTTGGAGAGAAAAGCATGTGATAAACCACCTTTCAGAACACCACGTATGTGCCTTGTGGGGGGACAGGGTGTAGAGACCACCCCTTGGGGTGTTAACAAACTGCTGGACTTCTTATAGACTGACCCTACGCCACAGTGGCTACTCAGCTCAGCGGCAGCAGCAATATGCCCACACATGCTTTATTTGGCTGGGATGGTCTTAATCTCACATAGCAGCTTGGCCTTTAGCAGTTGCTTAGACATATGCTGATTTTTATCAAATGGGCTAACAACACCCAAAAAAAGTGAGGTCTTTTTCTTGGGGGTGGGGAGGGAAGACGAGGGGGAGAGGCAGAGAAGCTAAAGAAAGTGTTGGCACTTTGGTCGTAGAGCATATGTCTCATGCAAGATCGTTTTGCCCAGAAGGACCAGCTACTATGCCTAGGCTGTTAGTCTCCTCCTGACAGCTGTCATGACAGTAAGCATCCAAAATTGTGCCAAAGTAAATGTTTCAGTTCTCTTATGCTCCAAGCACTGTTTAACTCTGATCCTGCAAGCATAAGATGGCTTGGCTGCACCATGTGTTAGAAACACTACCAGGAACTCAGGCCCTGGCTGGTCTTGCCAGTTCACTCTCTGACTGAGCAGTACAACTTTATACACTTGTTCTTATGCAACTTCCTTCCCCTCCCCTCATGACGTGGCCTCATCTACTACCAATTGCCCAGGAAGGAAGTCAGGACACTTCTAAAGCTGTAATTCAGATGTAAAAGTTTAGGAGCCATTCATTCTCTAGCTGGACAGTTTGTTTACAGGAAGACAGAATGTCAACAACATTTGCAACCTTTTCCATTCAACTCACACAACTAACAAACTGGTTTAAAGGATATGCAGTGTAGCCATGCTTTGTCTAGCAGAAGCTAATAGCAAATTGTTTTGATCAATATTAAACTTGTATTAAATGCACTTACCTCTACTTGCATTTAAAAGGCTTCTTGTAAATACAAGCTATAATTTATTGCACTTGTCACTGTATATTCATTGTTCTGTATCATTTATAGAAAGACTGCTTTTTTAAAAAGTTTTTATTTAGAAAAATCTCAGTGTAAACAATTGTACCACTTTGATTTTATACAAGAAACTCATGAGATTGTGCTTCACTAGAAAGTTGTTAAAAACGTAATAAAGGCTTCCTGTAAGGCAGAAGTATACATATTGTTCCAATACATCTGCCTGTACAACACTTAGCTTTCACTGTGACTTTTTCACCTTCACACATTTTTAGATTGAACAGAATCAAAAGTTCTGGACAGACAGTGAAGTGAAGTACCAGGAGAAATTCACTGGTTTAAAAGTTCATAGATGCTTTGCCTTTTTTTTTTTTATAAAAAAGAAAAACAACCCAACCTACTCCATACGATGGACAAAACCCAGTATCTTGACAGATTAGTCAAATTAGCCTGTAGCTATCCTCATTCCATGAGTTTCTGTGCACGTGAGACAGCAGAATTCAGTCCTTGGTTTGCTGTTGCCTTTGTATCATGACAGTCTCTGCAGTGTAAATTCTTTGGCTTTCATTAAATCTAGCATGGAACATCTTATGCACCAAAGAATAGATTCATATTATAATCCAAGATACCACAAAGTGTGTGGCCCTAGCATTCAAACTCATCAATGCTTACTGCTCGGAAAAAGGTTAAGGCTCAAGAAGGGGGGGGGGGGCTATTTTACACTACTATAGACCAGCTGAATGGAAAAAATATTAAATATTGTACTACTTGTTGTTCTCTAAGTACTCCGAATAAGGAGCAGGTCAGCACAAAGTTTGGATTCAGGCAAGGAAACACATTATCAGCTTGGAAGTCTAACTGATCATTTACTATTAACGGAGCAGGTATAACAGCACCTATTATTCACTCTGGCTCTATAGAAGTAGAGCATAGTTGCACCTCTGGAGCTGGATGGCAGCAACCTATAAAAATCCACCTGACACGTGTACACTGTGGCATCAGTAATGTTCAGGCACATGTTACAGTACCATCACTTTCATTATGGCTAGACCTCCCATGCTGAGAGGATTAACAGGAAACAACCAGCTCCCGGGGGCCTGGTATCTTCCAAAGGTGTGTGTGTTTTCAACTTTTCAGCAGCTATATTAACACAAATAGGATTTAAGTGCAGTTGTAGAGGCAAAAGTCAATGCAGCTGTAACTTTTGCCTTTCTAGTAATGGTGAGCAATTTGTAGGGATTACTTTTTAACCAAATCTAACCTGAAGACAGAAATATTGTACTGCTGCCCTTTAGTTGGTTTTCTTAATGTATTTTAGTCTCAAAGGAAACCATTTACACTTCATTGCAGGAATGCAGAAATGCAGTAATACTATCAATGCTGAAAATATTCCCAATTTGCACAGTAGCTACTTGTTAGTTTTCCTTCACACACAGGGTAGTATGTCTTTAACACACACACAAGGGGAAGATACCAGTGTTTAGTACATTCAATATCCTAGAAACAAAGAAAAAAAAAAGCCCCAATCCCTACCCCCACCCCCCAAATACACTATTTGAAAATTAGCAAAGATAGAAATCCCTCAGCCACTGTACAAAGACAGCCAGGGGCAGAGCATCTAGACTTTTATTACAGTTCATCCCTTGCCTGACGCAAGACAAAGCTATGCAGTGATTCAAGGTCTCTCGTTCCATTGTGTTCACTGACTTTCTTTCCGCCTCGGAAAAGCAGAAGTGTAGGATAACCACGTACCTTCAAAAGACACATACAAAAAGGAAACTTCTTATTAATGTTAAGACTTGTATCCATCACTCATATATACCCGACTATGAAAAGCAACTGAAGCCCTCTGAGACAACAGGCCATTTTAATTTAAAAAAAACACAAACCCAAACCAACAGCAGAACTTCCAATGTCAATCTGAAATGTCTGAACGTTTTAAGTGAATAGGATAATACATGTTCCTCTAGGCTCTTGGGATAGCAGCTCCAGCTCTGTCTTCAATTGTCTGCCTACCAGCACCGAAAGACTTTTTTTTTTCTAGGAACAAAACTTTCCATCAGATACCACAAGAGACTGCCTTGGTGCTTTCACAGAGGGAGGCTTCTTAAAATAGTGACTTCTGCAGCTTTATCCAATAATGAGAATGACCAAGTCTGAACAAACAGTCCAGGAGGGAAATGGTGTCAGCAGGTGCTGTTCTGAACTGCCTCTTTTTGGCTGACAAACAGCACGGTCACCAGGCACCTGGACTGCAGCAGCCAGTTTGGCTGGAGCCTCCAACATTTGGTACACCATACTATCCCATTCATTTCAGATCTTCCACACTTACAGAAAATCTGTTGCAGACGTTACGTTCCACGGTGCAGTCTACTTCTGCTATTTTGACATCAGTCAAACCTGGAAATTGCTCTTTGGCAAGATTCTCCCAAGTTGGAGCCAAGTTCTTACAGTGACCACACCTAGAAACAAAAGAGGGAGATTTGTTTAGCAGATACACTTTCCAGTTTATCTCTACTGTCTTACTGCAATTGCTTTAACTAGCTGCCTTTCCTATCTGCTAATGATTTGGCCCTCCAAGTCCCTTGCACTATTATGTCAGTAAATGAGCTAAGAAAACAAGTGATTTTATTTAAGTTAAGCACTGAAATACTTTCTGGCCTTTGTTAGTCTTGCCTAGAATGGTATTCTAGATGTCGGTGCATTAACGTTTTACCCCACAAAGAAATATGAAGCCAAATAAAGACAAGCACAGAGAATATTTAACTGGAACAAAAAAAAAAAAGGGATCTCTTGGAAACAAACATGCTTTTAGGAAGGCACAGAATGTCTGTAGTACAAATTAAGTTTTCAGGTAGCATATGCCAGTTATACTAAAGCTACGTAGCCCGAGTTTAATTATTTAAATGATATTTTAATTTCCCGATTAAATTTCTTCCAGTTTTTAACGGCCTCCTTGACCAATGCATAGTAAAGTATTCATTTTGTTTATATTTTGAACTTGGCTAAGCCAAGTTCCTAACGTGAACTTCTTACTGCCTTCAAGAAGAATTCCCAAAGCACTTTAGATTTTAAAGCTGCATTGCTCATTCTGTTCTAACCCAGCTGCACCTTAATTGGATTATTAAAACAGCCCCATAATTGCCTTGAGGCCGGATCAGGGCATTTACAAAAATAATGAAAGATGTCTCAGCAAAAGTTTTCTTAATGCAAGCCAGTGTATATTTAAACCACCTTGTAAATACACAGTGACAGTATGAAAGCATTTCTGACCACGCACAAAAACTACTAGAACAGGGTGATTTTATGCTTACTATGCAAGTTAACATTAATATTTATCCAAAACTAACTGAAAGACAGAACTAGCAAGCAACATAATAGTGTTTGCTGAGCCCTACATAAGTTAATCCACTTGGAAGAGAATAATTTCATTTATATGGAGAGTACTACAACTGTATACATAAGCCTGACTTTCAGAGCTAAAACTGGGATACCAGCTATATAAATATAGGAAGCATTTTGCTAAACAGTAGCTTTCTGAGCATTGCAGCCAGGGAGCACACACTGGTTTAAGAACTTGACTCTACGTTCTGAACCACCACTGTTTCTTAGCCTGCCATCCAACATTGATCTATATGGCAGCATCCCATGAAAATCTCATGAGATGCAGAGATGGTATTATTAATAAAAACTAATCAATAAGGGAGCGTTTTTTATCTCAAAATTTTCCAGAAAAAGTTTCTCAGATAATGAACTCCTAGATATGCCAACAAGCCCTAGGTTCAGAAATCAGACTGGAGTTGCTTTTTGCACAGGTGCAAACTGAATTTACCAGCCCGTTCTGCTGGTGGCGCAGTAGCAGCACAGGCACAGATTCAATCCCAGGATTGAAGGGAGTGAGGAGAGAGCAGAAAACGTGAAGGGGTGTGTGCACTGTGGGTAGGGTATTTCTTAACCAAGTGGTGGAAAATCCTTGCTCACATCCAAAAGCAGATCTTTCAGATGGGAGAAGGCATAGAAATGGCTCTCAAGCAGCAAACCACACTGTGGTGAAAAGGGTGACAACACTGGAAAAGACTGCATCATTGAGCTTACATAAAATGAAACATTCCTGGGTACTTCTTGCCTACAGTACTTCTTGCCTACATGCATGCCTACTGTCAGAGTTAATATCTTGATAAGCCTGAGCACATTTAAATATGGGTTGCATTTGCTTGTGTTGCTTTGTAATGGGGCCTTTTACCACCTCAAACAAAAGATTTTTTTATATTTTATATACTACATTAATGGGATGGCTAGTGATGAAATCAGAGATGTGTTATCTTCCACACAGTGACATACAGCTTCATTTTAATCTCTTCCCCTACACTAGGCTTCCTTCTGTTGGCTAAGAGACCAGGCAATGGATGAGCAAGATGGCATGCCAGTTTCATTAAATTCAATGCAGGCACAAATAAGATGAATTCTATAAACCAGAAAGAGAACTGTTAAACTTTCTTTTTCTCTCAGAAAGGGAACAGTAAGAAAAAGGCAGAAATATTTGTACTACGAGTTTGTAATACTGAGGTCTTACCCCAGCTGGAGCCCCAGGCTCTGCTGTATATAGCAGTAATGGCAGATGTCAGATAGGACATTACTTTATTTCCCCCTCCAGTGCCTTCCATTGGGTGTCTACACCTACGCCATCTGTATTGGACACTTCTACCTTGGGTCACTATAAGAACATACTACATGAACCTACACTCTTAAGAACATCTTAAAATTGTCACATGTGCAAATTAGTTTTTTGGCAGTTGTTTAAAGAGTAACAGGCAATTATCCATAGCTCAACAGCCTGTACCAAAACTCAGGTGCTTAAAGGAGGCTTCCAAGAGAGGCTGGTTGTGGTAGGAGAGGGCCCAAAAGCCAGCACGCTTTCCTTTCTCAACACTGGAGATACACTCCCCTCACCTTATCCTAATCAAGGGATAGGAGCATGCTGAGCCTGCACAGAAAGCTTCACTCTCCTTGTTCCCCAGAATTACCTTGAAGCTGACACAGTAAAGCATCTCTGTCAGCCTTTCCACAGAGAGGCATCCCAAGAGAGCTAAAACCAGATTGAGCTTTTCTGCTGTAACTCTTGCCAACACACACATTCTTCAGTTAATTCACAGTTTAGATTCCAACAACAAATACCGTACTACACACAACTCCCAAGACCTAC